TGTTCACAAAGGAGAACACAAATACTATACCATAATTGTTGGGAAGCACAGTGTTTATTGAAAGGAAGGAACTGAAGGAAATCGGTATCAGTAGGGAAATGGTGCCGGACAAATTGATAGGATTGAAGGTTGATAAATCCCTAGGCCCTCATAATCTAATACCAGAGAATTTAAAAAAGTGGTCCTAGAAATAATGGATGCAACGGTGGGCTTTTCTAACATTCTGTAGAGTCTGGAACAGTTCCTAGAGATTAGAGGATAGCTAATGTAGCCCCTCTACTGAAAATTGGAGGTAGAGAGAATTCTGGGAATTATAGACCAATCAACCTGACATTGGTAGTGGGGAACATGCTACAGCCCATTATGAAAGATTTAATAACAAAGCACTTAGAAAATAGTGGCAGGATCAGATAGAGTCAGCATAGATTTATGAAAGGAAAAACACACCTGACAATTCCATTGGAATTCTTTGAGAATGTAACTAGCAGAGATGATGCGGGGATCCACCGGATGTCAATTATTTGAACTTGCAGAAAGTTTTCGACAAAGTCCCCAGTATAAGAGAATAACATGTAAAATGAAAGTGCATGGGATTGGGGGAGTGCATTGAGATAGAATAGCAAACTTGTTAGCAAACAGGAAACAAAGAGTTGGAAATAATGGTCTCATTTCAAATAGCAGGCAGTGGCTGGTGGAGTAACACAGGGATCAGTGCTAGGACCCCAACTATTCACAATATATATTAATGATTCAGATGAGGGAACTAAATGTAATACCTCCAAATTTGCTGATGACACAAAAATGGGTCGGAGGGTGATCTGTGAGGAGGATGCAGGGATATTGCAGTGTGACTTGGATAAACTGAATGAGTGGATAAATGCAGAGAAGATGTGTATAATGTGGATAAATATGGGATTAGCCACTTTGGTAGCAGAAACAAGAAGGCAGATTATTAACCAAATGGCTATAAATTGAGAGAAGGAAATGTGCAATGACCCTTGTATACCAGTTGCTGAAGGTAAGCATGCAGGTACAGCAGGTGGTAAATTCAGCAAATGGTATGTTGGCCTTTATTGAGAGAGGTTTCGAGTACAGGAGCAGGGATGTCTCGCTGCAATCATATAGAGCCTTGATGAGTATGTGTTCAGTTTTGTTCTCCTTCTCTGAGGAAAGATATTCATGTTATAAGAGAGAATGTAGCGAGTGTTTATCAGACTGATTCCTAGGAGGGCAGGACTGACGTATGAGGGGGAGGTTGAATTGGAGAGGATTATATTCGCTGAAATTCAGAGAATGAGGGGAGGTGAATCTCATAGATGCCTAAAAAATTCTAACAGGACTAGACAGGTTAGATGCAAGAGGGTGTTCCCGTGGTGGGAATGTCCAGAACCAGGGGTCACAGTCTAGGGATATCGGGTAAACTATTTGGGACAGAAGTGAGGAGAAATGTTTTCACACAGAGGGTAGTCAGTCTGTGGAATTTGTCACCACAGAAAACAGTCAAGGCCAAAACATTGGATGGTTTCAAGAAGGAATTGGATATAGCACTTGCGGCTTTAGGATCAAAGAATTTGGGGGAAATGCAGGAACAGGGTACTGAGTTGGATGATTTTGATGAATGGCGGAACAGGCTCAAAGGGCCGAATGGCCTACTCCACTTCTATTTCCAATGTTTCCGTAGGGACAAGAATACTTGGGTCTGTGCTTGAAGGGAACCCGTGTCCCTATCTTCAAATGGACACAATGAAGGCATGAGAGCAAGGCAGGATTGAGGTGTGTAGCTACCTGAGTCTGTGTAGGCCCGGAGCAATGTCAGTTCCTGCTGGACAGAGAGAGTCCTGAATGGGATGTGAGAAACTTGTTGCTGTCTTGAGTGAGGGGATGGAGAGAGGGAGGAGTGGGCTGCAGTCTGTAGAAAAAGATCACAGCAAAGTCACTAGTTGTGAGCATGTATCAGCAAGGGAAAGCTGATTAAAAACATGCACACTTTAAAAAACTTTTAAAATTATTTAGTAACCTGGAACGGGAGGGTCAGACAATGGGCATGAGTGGGTGGGCTGCGGGAGGGAGATGGTGGGGTTCAGGTTTACAAACCCCACCTCTGTAGGATTCCTCAGCCCTGCAGACTCCATCAGCCTCCGTCACCTGACCAAATGGCTCTCCTTTGCTTCAGTATCAACTTGTAGCTGACTACACCCCTGTGTAGCATTGCGAAACATTTTACTTGGTAAAGGTGCTATAGAAATGCAAAAACTGGAGTGAAAAGAGGCCAGTCAGCCCATTATTCCCAAGAATATCCCGAAATAGCATTGTTGCAAGGGCTACATGTTTTTAAAAAATGCAGGCTGGCATCTGGGGCCCTCATCCGCTAGTGGCATAGTTTGGTAGATCACACCCAGTGCGCTTTTGATTTCTTGATACGTGTGGAATTGATGAGTCTCAGAAAATATGTGAACGGATCTAGAGTCAGATCCGATCTGGAGGATGGAATCCCACTTCACGGCAGAACTAGGATAAGCCTTAGCATCCATTTTATGCAACACAACTTCTGGTTTTCATATGAAGCCGCTGCTACTACAAACTAAGGCTAAACTTTGAGGTATAGTTATAATCCCTTGAAAAAAAAGTTAAATCAGTAATTAATATTTCTAGATCCTTCATGTCAACAGCTCCTTTTTAAAGGTACCACTTCACCACCAATCAATGCCCTTTTCTGAGTGTCTGGTCCATACCTCAAATATCACATGGGAGACAAATGTTTTCTAATCTCTAAGACAACAAGATGCAGAGCTGGATGAACACAGCAGGCCAAGCAGCATCTTAGGAGCAGAAAGGCTGACGTTTCGGGCCTAGACCCTTCATCAGAAATGGGGGAGGGGAAGGGGGTTCTGAAATAAATAGGGAGAGAGGGGGAGGCAGATAGAAGATGGATAGAGGAGAGGATAGGTGGAGAGGAAACAGACAGGTCAAAGAGGCGGGGATGGAGCCAGTAAAGGTGAGTGTAGGTGGGGAGTTGGGGAGGGGATAGGTCAGTCCAGGGAGGATGGACAGGTCAAGGGGGCGGGATGAGGTTAGTAGGTAGGAGATGGGGGTGCGGCTTGAGGTGGGAGGAGGGGATAGGTGGGAGGAAGAACAGGTTAGGGAGGCGGGGATGAGCTGGACTGGTTTTGGGATTTGGTAGGGGGAGGGGAGATTTTGAAGCTTGTGAAATCCACATTGATACCATTGGGCTGCAGGGTTCCCAAGCGGAATATGAGTTGCTGTTCTAATCTCTAACCTTGTTTGAAACTTGTTAATTTTGTACTTGCATTAGTTTGCCCTGTTGTCAGAAATTCTTGTTGTGTAAACTGTAATAATACAATTGAAAAGAAAACACACATAGCTGGGATCAAACAGCCTGTTACAAATAAAATTAACCTTTTTGAATTGCTCAATAGATTGACCTCTCCTCTCAGAGTTGCAAATCCCGCTTCAGAGGCTTAAGCACAGAAGTTAAGGCTGATACTCCAATGCACTACTGAGGGAGTACAGGTCTGCCGGATGGGCTACTTTCTGATGAGACATTAAACCGAGACCCTACCTGTTCTCTTAGGTGGACATATAATAATTCAAGGCACTGTTTCAAAGATGAGAATCCCTGATTTCCTGGCCAATATTTATCCCTCCATCAACATCAAGAAAACAGGTTACGTGATCATTGTCATATCGGGGTCTGTGGGAACTTGCTGTGCGCAAATTGGCTGCTGATTTCCTGTGTTACAACAGATTCCCACATTCCGGCACCACTTTAAAAGTCCCTCATTGGCTATAAAGCATTCCAAAATGTCTGGTAGTTGTGAAACGTGCTATATGAATGCAAATCTTTCTGCTTTTTCCTCTAACATTAACTTTGGCTCCTGTTAAAGAAAGTTTCTGATTCAGTGCCATGTTTGACAAAGCTCTTTTTGCTTTAAAAATAGTTCACACTGAATTACTTGGTGGTAGAATCATAGAATCCCTACAATGTGGAAGCAGGCCATTCAGCCCATCGAGCCCACACTGACCCTCCAAAGAGCATCCTGCTCAAATTCACCCCCTAAACTAATCCTGTAACTCTGCATTTCCCCATGGCTAATTCACCTAGCCTGCAGATCCCTGGACACTATAGGGCAATATAGCAAGGCCAATCCACCCATCTTTGGGCTGTGGGAGGAAGCTGGAGCACCCGGACGAAACCCATGCAGACTCAGGGAGAATGTGCAAACTCCGTATAGACAGTGGATTCAAACCAGACTCCCTGGCACTGTGAGGCAGCAGTGCTGACCACTGAGCCACCGTGCCACCCCAATGTGATGATGCAGTGATTTTTTAAATATGCAGGCAAGTTCAACACCAGTAGTATCTCACTATTAATATTGTATTAAACTATCAGTTAATCTATTTGGTTTGACTGTGTGGGCTGAAGGAAGATTGTTGGTTAAGGAACTCAGGAGGAGTGCCTCTTCGAATCTAAGATCCACTGAGCCACGAACACCGGCAGGAGAAACAAAAGTTTAACGTCTTACCTGCAGGTTGGTGCCTTCAATAATGCAGCACTCCCTCAGCACCGCACTGGAAAACTAGCCTGGATTATGTGCGCAGACATAGAACTCAAATCATTATCTTCTGACTTGGGGACAGAAGTATTATGGAATGAGCCAAACAGACACAGTTCAGTTTATCAGTACAACACCTCACTGTAAACACTGTAAAATGTCCAACACATCTCCACGCAATGCAGTTTTGTGTTACATGAGTGAATATTAAATTTCTAATACATATTACAATGCTCTGCACAGTTTCTTTTTGTGCATAAACCTTAATATTCTCTGAAAGATGTGTTTAACTGTTTTTCACTTTACTAAGAAACTATCACTTGGTGCCCAGCTCTGAAAAAGTACACAGGCCTATTTAACAAGTGGATTGAACAGCTACTGATTAAATAGCTTTAACTAGTATGACGAGAATTGAGACCTACTTACTGTCTGGAAAACGAATGCCACAAACCTTCAATAAGACTCTATCAGCTCGTTGAAAGTGAGGTTAACAGTGACACACAGTACTTGCTGGGAGCAAGAAAGTGTGATTACAGACTTGAGCATGACGAAGTCTACAGTTACAACCCAACCCCCTCACCGGCTCACATCCAATTGCATCCAGACCGAGCTCACCAATCAGCAGCAGGTCTTTTTTTCTTGTTGCATTTTTCTCTCTCGCACAAAGACATTAAACAGTCAATTGACTGCAACCAATCCCTTTGCACAGACCTCAAGTTCCTTCAGAATCCTGGAAGTGAAGACAGTACATGATTGTTCACCCTGATTACAACTTTCAGAGGATGTACAATCAGACTGTGGTCTCTCTAAATACACCCCAGAGCGTCTACACTCTGCCACACACGTATCACACAGAAGCACTTAACCCCTTGGAGAATTAATTCCAGCCAACAAATAGCTTGGCAAGTTAGCAGTTTGTTTCATTTCCACATTGATAACTTTGCAAAGTTAACTCTTGCGTAACTTCATTGTTAAGTATCTTGTGGGGCTCATTGCCATTATTTGCACACAGAAGCATCAGCCCTGGCTCTGTGTTGGCACTTTGATCTCGTAGCCAGGAGGTTGTGTGTTCAGATCTTACACCAGGGTCTCAGTCATGTGATACAGCCTGACTCCTGTGCAGTGCCAATGAGTGCTGCACTGTTGGGGGTGCCATTGTTTGGAGTGATACATCAAAACTAAGTGGTCTCAGGTGATTTGACTGCCCTTGACATTTCCAGTGTTGTACTGAAGAGCCCAAGTCAATAAGGATCAGAGGAAAACTGACTACAATTGTAAATGTTGCGGTATTTGGATGTTAATCATCACAGTCACAGGCCATTGCTGTAGGAGTTCCTCAGGATAGATATTTTCTAACCAACTTGTTCATAAATGTTGTTACACACCTTTGGAGCAGGTGGGACTTGAACTTGTAGGGAGACAATAATCTAGTATTATTATCGCAAGCCTATTAACTGAAAGACCCTGGTAATGTTCTGTGGAGCTGGGTTTGAATCCTGTTATGATTGATGGTGGGAATTGAATTCGCTATTTAAAAAAGATCTGGAATTAAGAATCTAATGATGACCATGAAACCATTGTCAATTGTAAGGGAAAACCTAACTGGTTCACTTAAAATGGGAATTGTAAAATGGGAATGTTCCCTGAATGTTGCTTAAATTTTTAGCTGCGTTTACAGTTCTTCTGTTAATGAGTAAGTATGTACACCCCACAAAACCTACCATCACCCTAGGCAGCATGCCTTGTAAACTACCCAAGCTTGGATTGATGTGTGACACGCACAGTGGCTCAGTGGTTAGCACTGTATGGAGTTTGCACATTCTCCCTGAGTCTGCATGAGTTCTGGTCAAGTGCTCTGCTTACCTCCCACAGTGCAAAGATGTGCAAAATGTGTGGATTGGCCATGTTATAGTGTTCAGAGATGTGTAGGGTTGGTGGACTATCCATGGGAAATGCAGGGTTACAGGGATAGGGTAGCGGGTTGGCTCTGGGTGGGATGATCTTTGCAGAGTTGGTGTGGACTCAATTAGCTGAATGGCCTGTTTCCTCATTGTAAGGATTCTATGAAATAATATTCAAAATACTTGAAAAAGTAATAGAAAATGCGAGTGAATGGATAACTCACCTCTTAGCTACCTTGAGATATCCTTTATGGAAGCAACTATGACATTCTTACTACACGTGACACCAGACTCACAGCAATGTGTTGATCCTTGAGGTAAAAGCAAAATTCTGCAGATGCTGGAAATCTGAAATAAACAACAGAGAATGCTAGTGAAACTCAGCCGGTCTGGTGGCATTTGTGGAGAGAGAAACAGAGTTAATGTTTCGAGTCAGATATGATTCAGAACTTCAAAAAGATGCTGCCAGACCTGCTGACGTTCTCCAGGATTCTCCATGTTTGATTGTTAACTGCACTTGAAATGGTCAAGCAAGCTCTCAGTTCAAGCGCAATTAGACATTAACAATAATTCCAGATAAGCCCTGTCCCACATTGAACATTCGTCATTCTATTACATACACCATTGCATACTGTTCTACACTTCTGCCCCAAGCAAACAAGATGACAGTTGGAGAAGTTACCAGATGTTCATCAACCTTTAGTCAATGCTATCATGGAGAAAACAGATTTCAGTGAGACTCTATCTTTATCATGCTCCAATTCTAACAATGAAGGTAGGTGTTTGGAACCATTTTCAATGGAGAATGTCAATCACAAAAGAAGAAAGAATCAGGATTTGAGGGAATGGCAGAATGCCACAGGGACTGTCATTCCTGAGGTACAGCTTATGATATCTGTAAACTTTAGCTTGTTCCCATGACAGGTCCTGCTTGCCTTATCTGTACTGACTGTTTGTAACTGGCATTGGAGGAGTCCAGAGAAGTTTCACGAGGTTGATCACTGGGATGGATGGCACTTAAGAGCAGCAACTGAATAGTAAAATAGAATCTGGAATATGGCCATAGTTATGGTCTAGGCTCGTTATGAAAGGAATGGTGAATTGGACATGGTAGCAGAATGTTGTAAGTTTTATATCACAAATCTATGTAGAGATGGTCCTGGTTTCCATGCATGTAACAGGTTTTATTCACAGCTTTAAAATATTTATTCCACATTTCAGATATGGTTCATCCTACAGTGGTAGAGATAATAAGGTGTAGAGCTGGATGAACACAACAGGCCAAGCAGCATCAGAGGAGCAGGAAAGCTGACGTTTCGGGCCTAGACCCTTCTTCAGAAAGGGGGGAGGGGAAGGGGATTCTGAAATAAATAGAGAGAGAGGGGGAGATGGATAGAAGATGGATAAAGGAGAAGATAGGTGGAGAGGAAACAGACAGGTCAAAGAGGCGGGAGTGGAGCCCTCCAATTCATTTATTACTCCTGCACTGCTGATCAATGCTGGTTCAATGTAATTTAATAATGCCTCAATTTTTAAATTATCACCTCTGCTTTTAAATCTCTTCACATTTCATTCACTCCCCGTCTCTGCAATCTCTTCCACCCCTATAATGCTCGGAGATATCTAAACACTCCAATTCCGTCTGGATGGACCCTGATTAGAATCCTTACAGTGTGGAAACAGGACACTCGGCCCATCAAGTCACACTGACCCTCTGAAGTACATCCCGCTCCCCTACTCTATAACCCTGCATTCCCCATAGGTAATCCACCTAGCCTGCAGATCTTTGGATTCTGAATCTAATCACTCTACCACTGCTAGGCATGCTTTTTCCTAATCAATCTGTTCAGAGATGTTATTATACACCTGTGGAGCAGGTGAGACTTGAAGCTGGGTCTCCCAGTCCAGGGGTAGGGACATTACTACTGTGCTTAAGCATATGCACAATGGGTTTTGAACCCAAGATCCTCAGCTTACTAGATAGGCACTTTAAATAGCCAAGCCACAGTGTCAAATCCTAAACTCTAAAACTTGCTTAAACCTCTGACTCTCTACATATCTCAGGTCCTTTAAAGTAGTCTTTAAAACCTACAGATTTGACTTTCCTGGTTGGTATCTGCCTTAACATCATGTATTTATTGTAAATACTGTAGCAGGGAGACAGTACAGTATTCTCTTTACAATATAAACTACTGAAAACAGATAAAGAATAGTGTCATTGTCATGAAAATAATGTATACATAACAGCTGAAGAACAATTCGTGATTAAAGGTTGCAGCTTTGTACACGATTACCACATACCATTTTTTTAAAAAGTGCTTTGAACCCTAATTAAACAAGTTAATATGTTTTAAATTGACTCTTCCTTCACAGTTAGTAAATAATGCAGATTGAATTGTTTGTTTACATCAGTTGTGAAAAAGGACAGTTTTATGGGGTTGAAAAATTATATAACTGATAAATGGTGGTATTGATTCTTAACTCTAGTTGTCATTTTTTTCTCCTATAATCTTTCAGAAACTTTTGACAATCCTCCCTTTACTTCACCCTTTCATTAGTGGCTTTGCCTTGATGACTAGTTATGCTGTGGATTTGCACTCACTAGGAAATTTCCGATTATGATCTTCACAGTGCATAGTGAATTGCTCTTAATTTGTTTTATTTAACCTATTTATTCTAATCAACCTATTTAGAGATGTTATTATGTGCCTCCTGTTCCAGGGGTAGGGACACTACCACTGCACCAAGTGAACTGCCCGTGGTTGAACCTTGATGAGCCTTTGAACATTACAAATTGCCTCAGAATGAGGCCCTTTGATCTTTTGAGTTTTCTCTGCTATTCAATAAGATCAAATTAACAACTATTAACTGGTGGTACTGCTCTCACCTTTGACTCTGAATGTTGTAGGTTCAAGGCCCATACCAGTGAGAATAAGCATAAAGGAAAGGTTGACTTTGCATTGTAGTGTTGAGGCTGTGCTGTATTCTGAATGAGATCTTAAACTGAGGCTCTGCCTGCTCTCTCAGGGAGGTGTACAAGATTCAATAAGGTCATGCTTGACCATTTGCATGAGGCTCAATCTAATGCACTAACTCCATGTCGCTTGAATGTCTAAATAAAAGCACAATTTAGATTTAGGCGGGGTGGTGGGGGGTGGGGGGCACTATAAATGGTAACCTAAGCTTAAATACTGGGGAGAGACTGGTAGAATGAATAGCGTTTTCTTTCCTTCCCCACCCAATTCTCTTCCTTTTTGCTCTTACATTGAATATATTGATTTGCTGCACACCCAACTGTGTGCAAGCAACCCTCCAATACACTTACCCAGATGGTCATTTCTCTTTGGAGAACTAACCCAGTGAACAGGCCAAGCTACAATGCTGGTAACACTCCCTTGCTCGGCTTAAAGGCTAAACCAAAAGTATTGGCTGATAACACGTGTGCTGTCTTCAGTGGGCCCCCTTGCAACTGCACAAAGGGAAAAGAACAAAGACACCTATTGTGTGAGAAGTTGTCCAATCTTGAAGCATCAAACATTTGGATCATCTGGAACATTATTTAACATAGGCAGAGGATTCCCTGTAATTAATCCCATCTGGGACCAGCTGGTATCC